ATATCTTGGGCAAAATTTGTCTTCTATCTTGACCCTCTAGACCACCCCTTCTTCAATCTGAGCCATTAAACTTGCTTATGCTACAGTATATAAGTCTTTGTCTTGTACAATCTTACACCTTTATTTCATGTCATACTGGATGCTTTTGGTCTCATTGTAAGTGTGGAACTGATCAAATGTTAAGTTCTAAAAAAATTAGTATGGGAGTACTGAGGGTGAATATATCATAACAAAGTGTTAATATTACATCAGTTTTCACCATCTCTCCTTCCATATTTGCACAGACAGGTATGGAAAAGATCTTGTCACCATTGCCCCACTGTTTGAAAACATCTTTACTCATCTCTACCCCACCCCACTTAATTGAAAAGAAAACATTCTTATTTCTGATATCAAGTAAAAGAGGTAAAGACATGCAAGTGGTCCTTCCAAACTGGCCCTTAAATAATATGCTGGGTTGCAAAGAACCACTTTATATGTACAGACCTGGGGAACTTCCATCACTCTTCCACTTTGGTTGAAATAGTAAAAGAGGGAATTTGGTCCACTTCATAGAGGACATTGAGTACAGAAACTCTTTCTGATAACCAATTCCTTTTTAACATCACATGGTTAGGGTACGGTACTGTACATTTAATATTTGTAAACTTCAATGCATCATTGTATTATTTTCCTTATAGATAATGTCAGGAAGGGGAGTTGAATACAACACCTAATTGAAGACTAAATAAATAAGCTCAAGGCATACGTAGTCAGGGTGGTGAGTAACTAAACATGAATCCTAGATCTTCATTTCTACCATGGGTAAAGGACCTGTCCCTGATCTACCTAATGAGGAATGTTCTCTCCCATTGTAATCTAAAACCCCTTTATGTTTGCTTCTCTTTATTCCTCAGCCCCCGTTTCTCTCTCTCTCTCTCTCTGCTCTCAATTAGTCATCAAATCTTCTAGCCTTTTATTTGGGAGAGAATTGCGCTCTTGCTCCTGAAGGGCAAGAGGGCAAAGCCTAACTGATGCAGTTTTGATAACACTGTTCAAAAATACTTCTGCTTATGTTCGCAAGTAACATCCATGGATGCAGTCCGATCTCTTTTGTCTAAACCAAAGCCTAACCGATGCAGTTTTGATAACACTCTTCTAAAATACTTCTGCTTATGTTCACAAGTAACAGCCATGGATGCAGCACCTATTGGCTTCTGTTCTTAAGGAGCATCCATGGATACAAAACCCATTTTGACGTATGGGCAAAAGAGGGCAAGTATTTACATATGAGAGAGAGAGAGAGAGAATGGCAGCCAATTTAAATTGATAGATGTGTGTTAGTATTTGACATGGATATAGGGCGTCAGATCCTACATAACATGAAGAATAGAATTCAGTGATACGACTACATTGCAACGAGACAACCAAGTCTAACAATGTCTTGTTATATACTATTTCAAAACTAGTAAGAACTAATTACTTGTACCTTAACTGTCTAAATGTATAAATTTCCAAAGTTTCATAGACATTTTTAGAGTTCACGCACCTGCACAAAACAAAAAGAAAACCAAGTCTCTAAAATGGTTTAAAAATCAATGACTAATATACAAAAAGAATAAACAAGTCCAATATCATTGTGACGGAAATGGGTACACATGGGAGGAATCCATATTGTAGCCCGCATAACAAGCTACTACCTCTGAGTCATATATGCAAAAGAAGAGATGCATGCTGCCATAACAGGCGGGGTGTTTTATAACTCTTTAGCTCTAGCTGTAGGGTAGGACTTGTGAGCAGAATGCTTGAAGATTTCTGAAGGATGGTCCCAAATGAGGGGTCCTCTCCTATTTAGTTTATAGGCACTTGGCCTCTCCTCTTTTTCCCTCATTTCTGTCCAAAGACCAGGTCGTCCTGTTTATCCTTGAGAAGAGCATCTTTGGTCTCAAGGGCAGGACTACTCCTGTCAAATTTGGCTTAGTAAACAAATAGAAATAGACAGTCTAGATAATTTGTTATAAAAACTATATTTTTAAAGCTTGAAATTTTTTTGTTTTGCACAACTATGACGTTTAAGCCAAGATGATCAATGTAAAGTTTTTCTAAGGATTGAATTGTAATTTTTGATGAGTTATATAGTAAGGCTTTACTTATTTTGATACGGCTGCAGCCCTATCATCCCATTTTCCTATATATATAGCCCCAGCCTCTCTCACCCACCCTCATCTCCTCTCTTTCTCATACAAGTTTAAGAACTGCATGACCTCATCTCCTCTCTTTCTCATACAAGTTTACAAGTTTAAGAACTGCATGATCCGAGAAGTCATTTCCTCTCTTTCTCATACAAGTTTAAGAACTGCATGATCCGAGAAGTCATGGAGTTAATAACCGCATGGCCTGAAATATCTACTCCATGACTCTCAAATCAATCTCTACAACAACTTTAGCTCCTACTATTCTTCGAAATATTTCACTTATTTTCTATAATTTTTCATTACCAAGCTGCCTAAAAACCACCCCCTCATCTACTGAATCAAGAAACTCATCAATCCAAGTTTGTATTATCAACCAGAGAACAACTTTCATCATCCCCATGTTCACTTCCATTGCTTCGTCTCAATCTCCTTGGCAGAACTTCCATGGCTTCATCTCAATCTCCTTGGCAGAAAGATTCAAATCAGAGCTCAAAACTGATGATCCTCAAGATTTTATAGGACTATCCAATGACCCATCACTCTGTCTGGTCATGCAATTTGTATTTAGCACGCATATCACATTTATTCCAATATTCACTTGATTGTCTGGAATTTCTAACCACTACTCTTTATGAGTGGTCCATTAAAATATCAGAAGAATGGTCCAGTTAATTTTTAGAAGAATGATCCAACAAAATCTCCATTTCCCATCGTTGGGCTGCTACAATTCTCTCCTCTGATAATCTAAACATTTATTTCCTACTCATGAAAACCTTAACCTTTGCTTCCATGGCGGTTGTCATAAAAATCGCATTATTGACGTCGATTTCTATCCCATGTGTATCGGAAAGCTTACCAGTCCTTGTTGCTTGGCATAATCGACTTTATCGCATGTGTATCGGAAAGCTTACCGGTTCTTGTTGCTTGGCATAGTTGACTTTGGACCATCAGGTCTGCCTAATCCACATTCTCCATTAAAGAAAAAAATGAAGTTTATGTCAGGGGGTGGGAAGAAATAACTTTTATGCCGCTGGATATTTAGGAAATGGGAGGGGATACTAAGAAATTAACTTAAATTTTAGGGGTTATGGAGATATTTTCTCCAAAAAAAATCCAATAGAAGTTAGATATGGTCTCTAACTTTGATTCACTTTAGGAGATAGCACTGGTTTCTGTCAAATAGTGAATCAATCAATGACAAGATGATGCACTTTTTCGCAAAATTGACGGCCAAGGCAATAAATTTTTTAAGCAAAAAGTTTTACTTCGCTGCACACACCCCTCCTCACTCTCTCCCTCACATGGTTTTGATTTAATCCGATCCAATTGCCTCGATTCAGCTGCCTCATACAAGCTGCAATCCAAAGGTACGCCTTACAATCTCATGTTTGAGACAAGATGATACACAACCCAAATAACTCGGTGAATTCCACAACGCATTTCTTAAGAACTTTGAACTGCAGTCCACTTATTATCGCCTAATAGATGCAATCCAAAATTTTAATTTTTCTTTTCTAGTTTTTTTGTGGTGGTGGGGGGGGGGCGAGGGGGCGGGTGTGGTTCAATCTGAAGTTTTCAGATGTTATTTATCTATAAAAGGAAAACTAATTTATATTTCCAAAAAGTAAACCGCAAACTTATCAGTCCATGCAAAAGTGAAATATAGTAGGCATTATGGGGTTTCATAGATCTAAACCAGTGTTACATGGACACTGACATGCATGTATTTAACCGATATGCCTAAACACATCCATACAATCATTTTTTCAACAAGTTTTTATATTTCTTAGTCTTAATAGTATAATAATACAATGCTATGCTAGTACTTTGGCCTAAAAAACTGATATGGCTAAACACATCCATAAAATCATTTTTTCAACAAGTTTTTATATTTCCTAGTCTTAATAGTATAATTTCCTTTATATACTGCAAATGAAGTGTGGTCGAGGAGGTGTTAGAGCTCACGACAATTGCCGGAGATGGATTTAGTTCATAAATGAAGTGTGGTCGAGGAGTTGTCAGTTCATAAATGAGGTGTTAGAGCTCACGACAATAGCCGGAGATGGATTTAGTTCATAAAATTGAGTGCCAAGAAGAGAGTTCCAAGAAGAGAATAGGACATGGTCAAAATTTGCAAAATTAAGGATGGCAAGAGAAGCCACGCAAATAAATTAAGGATGGCAAGAGAAGCAAATCAAATATGTTGATATGCACCAATATTCTAATAAATAGAAGTAGCATTGAGAGAGAAACATTGCAAATCACACTAGTGAAATGAGAAATATTCTCATTGATATTACACATCTAAATCGGATACTGCACCTCAAAAATGACATGACTGCTAGCAAACAGCTCCATGGAAGCAAGAATCACAAATACAGGGCAATCCCTTACATATGACAGAAACAGCCACCAAAACATAACCAACAGAGAACATAATCGAAAAAAACCACCAGGATTACCCCAAAATTGAAAAAAATAAAACAATAAAGGTACTAGGAGCGCATTGGTAAATTCCTATTCATGATCGTAGCTATCAAGGTTAGCTTTCTCTCTCTCTAAAATGACTAATGAGCTCAGGATTTCAGACCCTCTTGTTCGGTTCAAATACATACTTGATGAGGGATTCTTTAATAGAGAGAAGCTCTGGGAACTCTTTCTTCAACTTGGAAGCATCCAATTCATTGTTGCTCCTTGGAGCAACTATCACTTTGGCTTGCTCTTCAAGATTAAAATTGACCCACTTGAAGGATGGATCAATATAATCCCTATACATTTCCAAGATCTCATTGTGGCTTACCACACCAGGGTTTGTGTAGTTCCATATTCCCCTGCAATTTTTTTTCGCCATTTCGATTGATATAGGCAGAAGCTCATCCAAGATGGTCATGCTGTTTGGAATGTTAACCACCTTGTTGTAATTGGCAATCTTGGTAATGAAGTTTCGTGGATTGGTCAGATCAGATGATATCGGCATCCGAACTCTGAGGGTGCACACATTCTCGTACTCACTGAGAAGTTCTTCAACCTACAATGCAAAGATTAATCATGAAAGGCAGAGATTAGAGAGAGCAACTACCAAAGGAGATTAATAGAGAGACTTTGCAATTCAAGAAATGACAATAATAGCCAGTAAATTGAAGTTCAAACTATTAAGCACGCAAAGAATGAGCTGAGAGCAAAAGAACATTTATCCAACAGAGAAAACTTAAAATGGTATGGTATTTGGCAACTAACAACTTAAGATGCCTAAGGTGCCCTATAAAAATAGTTCTCAACAGTTGAATTGATAGTAGAACCCCAAACTTCTGAAGTCTCTCAGACTCACATTTAGAGGTGCATTTTGTTGTACAAGATGATATTTTCCCAGAATACTTCCCGCCTCATATCAAATAATGGGTAGATAAGTTTAGTTTTCAACAGATGGTTTGATAGTAAAAACTTATGAAGTCTCTCAGACCTCACATTTAGACACGCATTTTATTGTACAAGAGGAAGTTTCCCAGAATACTTTCTGTCTCATATCAAAGAATGGGTAGATAAGTTCTAGTTCCCACTGAAAGTTATCAATAATTTTTTTTTTAATTGAGTGAAAATTATCAGTGATTTAAACTAATATCTAATCATTCTATTGGGCAGCATTACAGTCAGTTTCATCAAAAAAAATTTCAATGATTTAACCATGAATTGCTGAGATTTACCATGAAATTCAGGCCTCATAAGGCTCCTCGTTTACTGGAATGAATTCAAACAAAAAGTAAAAGGCTTACCATTGCCTTGGTCTGCGAATAGAACGAACCAGTGAAATTGGGCTTGTCCTCCTCCTTGAACCCAATGCCTGAACCCTCAGGGTGCTCAACATCGTACTCGAAAATACACCCAGTTGCAAAATTCACCATCAAGAGCCCCTGCTCTCGGCAAACATCTGCTAAATTTAGTGTTCCCACCACATTGGTGCGTATTGTCTCAGGCTTATGAGACTCACACCAATCGACATTAGGCCTGCCAGTGACCCCAGCCGCATTAAAAACATGTGTTGGCTTCACATTTTGAATATCTGCTAAAAGTTGGGAGCGCTCCTCTAATCGCCCTCTTCCATAGTCATAAGCTATCCCTTGTTTCTCACAAATCTTCCCTAAAAGACCCCCAATCCAGCCAGTCCTACCATAAATCAAGAACTTAAGAGATGGCTTAGTAGAAGAGCCACTTCCCTTTGAAGGTGGAACCACCATATGGCTTTGGCCAGAACTGTTCTCCACATGAGAAGCCCCACCATTAGTATCTTCAGAGCCATCGAACTGTGTCTTTATACCAGGCATCATAAGCATTCTTGGGTGAGGTAAAAGAGCACCCGACACATCACCCCACCAATCTGGGTGGCTCGTGTACCACTCCATGGTCTTTCTAAGCCCTTCTTGCCATGTGGTCCTCTCAGACCATCCCAAATTCGTCAACTTTTGATCATCTAAAAAGTACCTCTGATCATTGAAGGGTCTGTTCTCCACAAACTTGATCACCTCATTAGGGTTGAGAGAGAAAAGCTTGCAGATATCCTTGGCCACATCAATCACTCTCCTTTCCTTCTTGGTCCCAATATTATACACATGCCCCACTTCCCCTCTATGCAAAATCACCTCAAAAGCCTCAGCCACATCCTCACAGTAAAGATAACTCCTCACGTTCGATCCATCTCCATGAATCGGAAGTGGTTTCCCTTTCATGGCCAACAGTATGAACTTGGGAATGAGTTTCTCAGGAAATTGGTTGGGTCCATAGACATTGTTTCCCCTAGTTGTGATCACAGGGAGACCATAAGATCTCCCATAGGCCATAACCAACATCTCAGCCCCTGCTTTAGTTGCAGAATAAGGATTAGTTGGGAGGAGCTGAGAGGCCTCATGATTACCAACAACTGCATCTTCATCAGTTTCACCATAGACCTCATCAGTGCTAACATGGATGAACCTCGTAACCTGACCAGTGACCTTGCAAGCTTCTAAGAGGACATGGGTTCCATAGATATTGTTCTTTGTGAACTCGAAACTGTTTCCAAATGAATTGTCGACATGGGTTTGTGCAGCAAAGTGCATAATTGTGTCAATTTTTTCAGTAATCAAAAGAAAGTTAACAAGATCAGCACTAGCAATATCTCCCTTGACAAATTTGAAATTGGGTGAAGATCGAGAAGGGAGAAGGTTCTTGAGATTGGAGCAATAGTCTAGCTTGTCAAGGACTACGATTTTGTAGTTGGGGTAGTTCCTAATGAGCCTGTTGGCCACATGAGAAGCGATAAAACCAGCAGCACCAGTGATGAGGATGTTCTTGGGGGTGTAGCCAACACTTCCAGGCGAGGTTTGGCCACTTTGTGCCATCTTCTCCAGATCCTAGAAAAATTTGGAGAAAACTTTGAGAATTGATATTCAATAAAGTTGCATGCTGAATTCGATAGGACGGATTTGCAAAAGAGGAAATAAACGGAAATATTGATTGTTTCTTTTGATAAATAAAGGGAAAAGTTCTTTTTTTTCTTGAAAAGGTAAAATGGGAAAAGATTGTTACAATAAATACGAAAATAGTTAATAATCATGGAGAAAGACAAAAACAAGTTTCAATTGGTTAACATCTAGCTCTGATTCTAGACATAATGTAGATCAAGAGAAGAAATTTTCCACTTAAATAGTGACTCAAATTAAATATAAACAAGGATTGCAGAAAAAAAAAGGAATTAATATTTTTTTAGTAGATTTGCAAAATATTATCACAAGAAAGAAGAACAGATTTACACCAGGTTCAAAGAGAGGCATACGGATCAAAAAGTAACCTGGCAGCAATGAACACACAATGGAAACAAAAAGAAAATTTGAAAGAACGTCAATCTCGGATCTGAATAAAAGAGGACTACGCATTAAACCAATGTTTACAGTTAAAAAAGAAAAAAAAATTGGTTACACCCAAAACCCTAAATGTACAGATCTGGTTCATAAGAGAGTGATCAAGAAAAGCAAGATCATGAATGCAGAACCAGAAAGCTAGCTAAACGCAATCAAATTGAAGCAACAAATAGAATTTTCATGCATGACAAACAAAGTGGGACATAGAACTCTCTCTCACAGATCTATGGAAGACGTAAGGAAATAATGTATCATGGTTAGAGGGGAAAATCAGAAAAAGTTCACAGATCTGATCGAGATAGCGAAAAAGAACAAGAACGAGAGACTTTGAGCAATTTGGTAAATTAGATCTGTTGTGTGTGTGTGCGTGTGAGAGAGAGAGAGAGAGAACCTTATCAAATATCTGCTAACACCCCAAAATTATAAATAAATAAATAAAAAACAAAGCGAAAATCGACCTCCAATACGAATTAATGTATAACGCGGAACATGTCGGATACGAAATAACGATTCATTAAAAGTAGAACTAGAGAGACAGAGAAGAGAGAGAGAGAGAGAGAGAGAGAGAGAGAGAGACGTTACAGGTTTCGCAGATTGAGATCTATGGAGATAGAACGTTAGTTGCTCGTCGAGCTGTTGCTGAGAAAACGAACAGGTTTTTTTATTCGAGAGAGAGAGAAGAGGGGGGGGGGGGCGAGATGATTTTGAGATGGAATGTGCAGAGAAGGGAGAGGAGGGTTTTGTAGAGAGAGAGAGGTAGGTGGAGGAGATGTGGACGGGAGCGTGGGAGACAGTTAAAGGAAAGTCGCGCCAGGGATCCCGCGATCGTTAAGGAGAGAGGGAGAGAGAGAAGCAACCACGGAAGTAACGCTTAAAACACGGCACCCGACCTTAAACCCCTGTTTATTTTAGGGGTTATTTCTATGAGTGCTGAGAGGAAGAGAGAGAGAGAGATTTCAGGCCATAATCCCACACGAGGAGAGAGAAAGGATTGGGTACATTACGATCGAAGGGAAGGTCGGTGGTGGTGCCCTGTGTGTGCGTGTGGTGTATGTAGAGGGGGAGAGAGAAGTGCCCACTACTGAGGAGCTCGTTCAATTTTCTTTCCCTCCCGTTAGAGTTGAGAGAGACTAATGTCGCTTTTAATTTTGGAAAATTGTTTCATGCGCATTTCTTCTACATTTGCAGTCTCCAAGGTATCAAACATTCATTTTAAAAATGGATGGTCCATCTGACAACAATTGAAATTAACAACCTCAATGTTTTTTTAATAGAATTATTATTCTTAATTTTTAAAATTTATTTATTTATTTATATTTATGATTTTCATGATATGTCCTTAACAATTAGACCCAAAAATCCATCTCAAAACTAGATTTTTTTAGAGGGGATTCATTTTTCTACATGGAATCACATGCCCTTTAGTTTATATTTTGAAGGATATTATCCAATCATTCTAAACGGGTCTCTAAATTAACTCTAAACGGGTCTCGGCCTCATGCAAACGGCACCCTTTTCTTTTTGTAGCAACAGCCATCGAAGCAGCACGTGATCCCAAATTGCTTCTCTCTCTTAGCTTGGCTTGCTACATCTCCCTCATTATTTACTTCTTACTTTGATGCTTTAGGGTTTAGGGTTAAAAAATATATATATATCTATATTATCACATATATATATCTATTAATTTTTATCTATTTAAAAAAAACCCTTAACTTGCTCACGTTTTTTTTTTTTTAAAGAGAAAGTTTTCTATGTTCCTTTGTAGCATAGAAGTTCTATTCTCTTCTTTATCCAACCGTTCATTTTTTAATGGAGAGCTAAGATTGCTCTAATCACAATGTCACGTCTCTACACTGTTTTATTTATTTTTTATTTTTTTCTATAAACTGTTTTGACATAAATTTTGGACGTCAATTCCTCTATTAAACTCGCACGAACGAAAACTATATAAAAAATAATTTCAATAAATTAAAATGACCAAAATACTTTTGAAAGTTTCAAGTGGTATTTTGGTCATTTTTTTTATCGAAAATTATTGTTAATATTTTTTATAGGTGCGTCCCATTGAGAATATGACACGTACCAAATTTGATATTTAGAAAATGATTATTAAAAAAACTAAAAATAAAATAGTTTGAGACGCCTTATCTAAGATCAAATAGTGAGTGGCTCTCTTGATAAAAAATGGACGGTTGGATGGTAAGAGGAAGATAGAATTTCTATGTTGTATGGGAATATAGAAAGCCTTCCCCATGTTATAAGGCATTTTAAGAACGGTAAAAACTACCGCATGTTTTTATATTGGAAAAGTTTATATAGAGGTGACACTCTAAACAATCTAAAATAGCAATAAAATATGCTATAAAATTAGCATTCATGCGAGCTTAATGGGAGATAAATCTGTTCAATCACAAAAAATCTGTCGGTTTGCGTGATTCGGGGTTCTAACGAATAAATGAAACTGACCATTCCTTTTGTCACAGTTAACCAAATTCGACCTATCTACGGTTAGGTTGTAATTGGGCGGAGCAGGCTGGGGGCTCGAAGGCCAGGTCTTTCTTGGTCCGGATTTGGGCCAAGTCATACTAATGGGCTGGGTCTATGCCTTAGTATAAACTATAAAGTATAAACTATGAATTTTATTTTTTTTTAAATTAAACAATGGTACAAATGAACTAGACTGGCCCAACAGTCATTGATGGTTGGGTCCATCATAGGCTGGGTCCTGGCCCCTTCGTAAGGCCCACCGGAACAGCCCACTTCTATAGCCTGTCAACTGAATGGGCTGGACGCAAGTCGGCCACGCCTTGATCTTGTTCTCGCCTGATCCTGTCCAAATGCTCCAAACAGGCTTACACCCCTATCTACCGTCATCTTTTTGTCTAGAATTTACAGAAGTGGGCATGTCAAAAGTCATCCTCTCTCTAGAATTGGAATGGTCACGTTTTCTTGAACATTCTCCTCCAATATCTGGAAACCTATATCCGCAAGGTGTTCCGGTCGTCTCGGAAACTAGTTTGGGTGAGTGAATATCTGGATCAGTGATCCAGCCAAGAGAATCAACAAATAAATTTAAAAAAATATAAATTTCCAAAATAATAAAAAAGTGGGCTGGATCGGCTGGTTCTCTCATAAAACCTACAGGTTTTGTCAGATAGCCGACCAATTCGTGGGAAGAACCGTCAGTTTGCCAATATATTGAGGGAACCCTACCAGTCTTCTTAAAAATCAATCCAAATCAAAAGATTCTAATCCGGATCGGTGTGTTTTCAAACATTGGTATCATCCATTGGATGGAGAGAATCGACATTAATCAAATACAGACATGGCCGTGAAGGAGGACGTCGTGGTTCTTGGAATAGGGGCTTGTGAAGCAAAGAAAAAGTGAGATATGTAAAATTTGTACACAGACTGGGAATGCACCGCTCATCCTCTTCAACTAGCCGATGTGCTCCTTTGATAGTAAATGATGCACTTGAAACCAGAACTCATCTTTAACATCTATTGACAACGAAGTATAGTGGATAACTGATGTGCACCATACTATAATGCAATCACATCTCTAAAAAATCATATTTTGGTATTTGTATCCCCTCAAATTTTATACACACAATCTCTTCATCCTCATAATCAATCCTACAAAAAAAAAATTCAATTTGTACCCTAAATATGGTCAAAATTAATACCCACCCAACAATGAATCTCTACCATCCATTTGGTGAATTTCAAGATCTAGGCCTTAACAAATTCAAAATAATTTTTTTTCTATTTTAGCATTATTAATCTAATGATGATAGCGCTATATAAAATTTCGAGAATAAAAAAAGCATTCCAACGCCTATATCTAACCATCTCAATAAAATGGACGGCTTATATTAATTGGGCTAGAATGAAAACTTTCTAGAGCATTTTTTCAAAATTTTCTTTTTTGTGATTGTTCTTCGGAATGAAACGAGTGTACATTTAGAAATTCGTATAAAACAAATGTCTTTAACATGGTTTTGGAAGATGGTTGCGTCATACTACTATACAACCGTTGCATGAAATCATTCCCTATATCATATATACGTAAGTGATTGCATACAAGGTTGAGTTGAGAGCATTGATGAAGAGCTTGAGGACTTGTTTGGATGACAATCAATGTCAGGAGTAGACTATCTTATTTAAAATTTATATATTTTGCATAACATTGTTTTGTTAGTCATTCGATGCATACTATTGGAAAAAGTTTGGATGAAATTGGGGCAAAATTCGCATATTGATGCAAAAAAAATGAAACTTTTTAATATAGTACTCACATTTCTTATTGGATTCCTAAAAACCAACATTTATAATGAATTTTAATAATTTTTTTGGATTTTTTTAATATTAAATCTAACCGATTTAGCCGATTCCCAATCTAAATCGATGATTCACCGTTTCGTATGGGTTTTTGGGGTGTCCGATCCGATGCACCAATCAGTTTTTTAAACCACTAGTCTACCCTATAGATCCATGTCAATCATCGGAATGGTATGAATAATGATTTGAAAAAAAATAAAAATGTGTAAAAAAAAATTAAAGTAGCTTCTTTTTTTTTTTTTGTAGTGGGACCTAAAAAATATTAAATATGCTTAAAAATAATAATTATAAAGGCCGGTCTTTTTTTTTATTAGGGAGAGGGGGCGACCAATCCATTACCAAGACCTTCATAAAATTAGTTTAGTACCGGCTGATTCCCGATTCGCTTAGGTGGGTTCTAAAACAATGATCAGTAAGATTGCCTTACATAATATGCTATCAACAAAACAGTGGATCGTATAGCATTTTAAGTTGGATTTCCCTTTCTATTTAAGAAGATCCAGAATTTCGTTTTGATCCAAGATTTCGTTTTCTTTTCATCCTTGTTTTAGGCTTCGAAGTAGGGATGGCAACGGGTTGGGTCCGGGACTGGCCGAATCCAAAAAAAATGATATGGGACCTGGAGTTGGACTTGGTCCCGGATCCGAAAATATAGTTGGGACCCGGACTTAGACAGTGACCCGATTAGACCCGACCCAAATATTAAAATATTTATATATTTAAATATATTTCATATATTGAGACCCAAAAAATATTACCAGCATGGACCCAAACCCAAGTAACATTCGGGTCCAAGATTTGGACCCAAACCTGAGCTACCAAATCCAATTTTTGGACCCATACCCAGACCCGAATCGGGTCTACCCCTGCGTTTTGGGTCGATTGCTACCCCGAGAGTGAGAGGGTTTAAATACACATGTGTGTCGGAGGCATGCCGTTTAAAGGTTTTCAGTTTTTCTGAGCTGTTTCTATTTTTTATTGGGAAAATTTCATATAGAGCCCTAATTCCTCATATTATTTTTTCAAGCGGCATAAGGAGCTTAAAGATTTTACCATATCCCTTCATCTCTTATCTCTTTTTTTTATTGATTTTTTCTCATTAAAATTAACCCTAAAAAATCTTTTTATGCTATTTCAACACAAATGTTTTTTAAATGGGTGGAAAGGGAAAAAGAATGTTAAAAAAAATTTTAGATTGAAATGGTATAAAAAAATTTGGGACTAATTTTTATGGTCAAAAGTCAATAAAAGATGGAGATATGAGGTGAAAGGGTGCGGTGAAATCTTTAAAGGTTTGCTTACGCCGCTTGAAAGAAAAACAGAACGTCGATCTACCATAAAATAATATGAGAATTATGGTTCTATATGAGGAATGGTAGGGTCCATCGGACATAGATTATAACATTGAGATTAGCACTTCAGCCCATATCCATTTAAGGGAGTAAAGCATGTCCTTCATATTTCTTACTTACTTCCGTCAACCCTTTAATGTCCGGGAAAAGTTTATATAGAGCCGAGGCTCTAAACAATTAAATTAGAGCCTGCCTCAAAGAATTTACTAAAAGAGATTGTTTTGACGCCCAAATATCTTGAAATCGATCATCTCGACATCAAGATGCATGGACATCAGAAAAAATGGATTTCACGTTTTTGAAATAATGTATTTTGTAATGCATTTTTTTACCATCAATTTTCAATATTTTCAAGTTTTCATAGATATTTCGATCTACACTATTTTTAA